AGAGTAATTCTATATTGGCTGCTGATTTGTAATTCCCTTCCTAATGATTTCAAACATGGAATTTGACTTTTTAAAATAGAAGCTGCAAACTGTGTTGACATTTTCATTGAGCTATTTACAATGACCCCAAGCTCCCTTTTCTGATTGGTCACTACAAGTTCAGATTCCATTAAAGTATACATGATGCCTAGATTTGTGAGCACATGTATGTGTGCGCACAAATAAGTATTCATTTGTACTTGATTGCATTGAACTGCACTTGCCATTTTAAAGCGCATTCACTCAATTTAGAAAGATCCTTTTGCAGCTTTTTATCATAGTGTTAGATAAGGTTTATGGTTCAGGAATACAGGTGTGGTGAGGGAAGCTGGACACACTTGTGCTCATTCACCTACTTCACAATCAGACACCCCACCCTCCGTCTTTACCCTCTTCTTCCCTGAGGAGGGCCTTGTCAATTGTTGGCTTCCTGCTACTCCACCAATTATAAGTCAAACACTGGGAGGGAAACACAAGCATTTCGCTCAATAATGTAGCTATTAATATTAATATAAATAGTGTAGCTATCAATAGTGTAGCTATAGTGTAGACAGAGAGAGGAAAATCCTAAGGCTCCTTCTCCCTGAAGGCTCATTGCAGATTATTGGTTTCCTCCTACTATTAACAGTGAGCTGAGTCAGGCTGATCAGTTGGTGGTCCTGGAAAATGGGAAGGGGAGCTCCCAAGATCACCAACTGATCAGATTGCATTTTGGAGGTGACTGAGCATAGATTTACCATGTTTGTTTATTTGTTGGATTTAAAATGAGGATCTTCACTCATTTTATCTCTACAGCAACCACCCTGTGAGATTGGGCTGAGAGAGTGATTAGTTCAAAATCATCAAGTTTCCATGACTGTGGCTGGACTTGAATCAGGGTTTCCCCAGTCCAGGCCCAACTTTTAAACCACTACACCAGTTACAAGTATAAAGGACCCTTTTTCCTTATATAATGTTTTAAATTATTTTCAAATTCACATTGCCACTAACTAAAATGAGGAGACAAAGAGATGTACAGCAATAGGATGTGGTTAATGGAACTGGATATGATACAGTTAACCTAAATCTTTGAAGCAAAATCTAATCTTCCCTTCTCCTTAGGTTTGACATAATGTTGAAATATTTTCCAGCTGAAAAAAACTGAAAGCAGAACAGAATATTTGCATGGCTTTTTTCATTACGCGAAGTCTGTAGTTTGACAAGTGTCAACAAAGGGGAGTAGAAGTACAGTATTTCAAAGCAAAAGATGCACAAAAGATGCTAGCAAAAGATGCTTGCTGTACTTGGAACATTCTTTACTCAGGTTTCCACAGTAAAGGAGGTTGTCTTACACCTTTTCTCAGACCAAAATGAGCTCATTTTTCAAGTACTATTTTTTCCTAAAATAGCATAATTTAGGGATAACAATATGGTTCTTTTCAGGATTTATTACAAATAATACCATCTTTCTCTTCCACATTATTTTTGTGACAAGCAAAGAAAACTGAAATCATTGGAAAAAAAGATGTTTACAAAAGGTACCATTTTCCTCAAACTACTTGGGACATTATCATTCAGCGCTAGGAAGCCCTGTAAAAATTTTTTACAATGTTAGTGGTATTAATGCATTAGTGAGCTCCTCCTATTCCAAAACAGGCAAATAATATATCAACTGATATTAAATAAATAAATTTAATGATTTTTTTTCCTCTGTTCCAGTCCATTACTTTAAACATTTATTTATAAAACAGTAGTAACATTTCAGAATCAGAGCATAGTGCATTTTTCTTTTCCTTTTTCTTAAAGTAACTTTTTTTAACAACAAAAAGTATGATTAATTCTCATATAAGGATTCCCCCCCCCCCGCCAAATTCTCAAACTGAAAGATTGTCTCCACTCCAGTTAGGATCTACACACAATATGCATGTCATCCATTTATATTTTGCCCTTGTGATTTGTAATACAACAGTATATACTCAAAATATATACTTTCTTATGGTGCATGCTAGCCTAGTGGTATGGGAAGAGAACATATACAAATCTTTGACCTAGGTTTCAACGTTTAGCTTCACAGATTACATCATTTTTATGACTTGTACAAGGAGGAATCACAAAGACAGTTTTTAATCCTGAGGAAAACAAGTGGTTCAAGGCTTTCTGAGCAAATATATTCACATTCAGTTCCCATGCCATACCTTGAAAATCAGTCATACACACTGCACAATACATGTAAATAATTACATTATATATCTGCAGAAACACCTCATAACATAGCATTCTAAAATGGAATACTTACAGTGGACCAAAAAACCCCCAAATCACTTTCAATAAGTTATTCACTTCTTTCTCTCATTTTTTTAAAAAAATACTTTCTGATATGAATTACAGGTGCAACGTATCTTTTAGTACATTCCTCGTATCAAAAGATATTCTAGTACAAATTCACACATTCAGTGTTGTTTATGACAATTGAGGTGACTGAAGATACCCATTGAACAAGGTTGCATTAGATTATTGCATAACACCAACCAATTCTAAACTTCTGTTATTCTGTGTAATTTAACTTACTTTCACAGGCAGAAGGCACAAGACCCCAAGGATGTCATGCACTGTACACAGGCACTAAACAGATTCATCCAATCTGCCATACATGTTGTTGCAAATATGGCACAGTAGCTATTTGACAGAGGTTCACAATATTCCCTCTCTAGCTCAAGAGTATACAAACACAGCGTCTCAGAGGGCCTACAGTGGATTTGGAGAATGACCACAATCCTTCCATGGACATTTCATATAAATGTATAGCAGAATTTTTATGAGACATGCTTTTAAATACCTGAATCTGTTAGTACAGGATAGTGGAACCTAGAGATCCTGGCACTGAAAGCCTGGAGTGCCATCTGGTTTTATGGTTCCAACAAATTCCTTCTCAGTAAGTCATTTGCGTGTGTGCATGTGTGTGCATGCACACACACACAATCAAATACATATATTTCCTTACACAGTAATGAATTTCAAATTGTGCAACTGATATCATGGTGCAAAAATCAAAAACTAAAATCAAATTGGGTTTGGTGCCACAAGGCTGAATATGCGCCTTCCTATATGACTAAAACTGCTAGTCATTACAAGTACAAGCCCCTAAACTCCTTCCTCACTTAATGGAAAGAGGAAGAAGTAGTCTTACTGTACAGAATAATTTAAATATTTTTTAGAAGATGGGGTAGTTGCAAATTGGTGTGCAGACCTTAAGAAAGAAAAATATACTAAAATGAGAAATAACAATGAGGTACAGATAGGAAGAGGATGTTTATATACTGCCAAGAGATGCCTATAATATGTGTGCAGGCTTCTGCAAACTGCTTGCTGTACTCATACTGGATGAGAATTGGGGGGTTTGTTATCCCTGCACAACCTGAAGACCTCACATTGAGGAAGGTTGCACAACTGCCACAATGTTCTAAAGAACGATTCCTCCACAGAGGAAAGTTGCACCTTATCTAAAATCTGTTGCTCAAAGTCTCTGAAGTTCTAAGTGTATCCCATTCATTGCTTTCTCAGTTACCAAAGATTCCAAAACTACACATACAGTATTTCACATAAGGCCACATAAAATCATGGGCTTCCTAGCCTTATATATTCTGGATTAAAACTGAAGTAAATTAGAAAAGAAATAAATGGAGCAAATGGCAACCTTGCACTTTACACAAGATCCTTTGGCACAAAAGGCTTAAATATTTTCACAACACAGATATCTTAATGCAATATGGTCACTTGGCATTATCCAAACCCACAGAACTGAAAATGTTCCAGTTACATGGGTCATCGAGCCCTCTCCTGAATTGTGCTATTGGCAAAATTCAGCAGGTATCCTTTAGTTAAAATGATAGGCTTTCCTCTCTAATCTCCCCTCCATTGCACGTAATGGGTTTGTGACTGCTACATGAAATATGCATGCAACCACCACACAAGCATGTATTAGATTTTGTTTACAGTAGGATTAGTGACAACTGATGTTGCAATGTCCTTTCCTAGCTGATAGCATTTGGCTAACTTCCAAGATGATGATGATTTCATTATTTGGAGGCTATGGAACTCTCATGCTGCATTTGTGTACTGATCTACTGATATCTCTCTCTCCATCCATCTCTAAAAGGCCAGAGATAGATATTTAGATGAGTATGCATGTGGTAGAGATGCAGAACAGGAGAGTGTACAACCTCCAAAGAATGAAATAACAACAACAACAACGAAATAGGTAGGTAAAAATGCCAAATCCAGTCTAAATATCTGGCTGACTGTGCAACCAACCATAATAATAATTGGCACCTGTGATTACACAGTTGTGTATAGTAATAATCCATCCCTAAAAAGTTTTTTTTTCAAAAACTTGGCTTTCTGATCATACTGTTCCTTCTTGAATCGAAGTATCCACTCTCTTTATTAAGTGCAAACACATCATTGCTATTAAGAAACAAAAGAATTGCAAGAGTTGCAATGACTAAAAGTTCAGTGAAAAACTGCTTTGACTGTGCAAAAAGTGTACTAAAAAGCTACAAACACCACATTCTAGGGTACAGAACACACTGGTTTGTCTGAAATGTATTTGCTGTTGGAATATTCTTTGCTAAATGATTCAGAATTTTATGAACTATCCATTCGAGAAAGGGGTTCTTTAAAATGTTAAAACATTTTGTTTTAACAAAAGTTAAAAGTTGATGTATGCCAAGTTAGACTAGCAGTTCTTCTAAGAGCAAATCCACACAGTATCCTTGTCTTGGTGCAAGGATGGTGTCAGCCCAATAAGACAGACCAGACTAAGAAACCAGCGCCATATAGGTCAGGATTACTTCTATTTTAATAGCTATAACAACAGAATCTTGCAAGTCTGAATGTGCTTCCCCTTCCCTCACTTTATCTTTATGTGAATTAAGGAGGGGCTTGTCTGAGATCTTTTATCAAGTTATTTTCTTGGCCAGGGCTCAAGCCCCTCTTATCTGACCATTGCCTTTGGTCAGCTCTTCCTCCTTTCCTTCAAGGCCATTCCCTATGCCCTCACTAATCATTCCCAGACAGTGTCAGCTCAAGGGTATATGGCACCCCAAGATGACACTGACTGATGGCACATCCCACCAATATAAAGATTTGCGTTTTCAGAATGATTGGGACAGAAGGGCAACGCTGGTGTCTCCTAAGCTTTGGCGCCCTGGGCCAGTGCCTTTTTGGCCTTAGGCTAAACCCATCCCTGATTCCATAGAACATGTCCATATGCTACTACCTGGATCTCATTGTCCACCTGAAGGTGAGGCAACCTGAAGATGGCTTTAGTTGCTCCATCCTGAAAGTGGTGTTTTCTCTCTTATCATGCCTCTGGATGCTATGTGCAAGTTATATAGGGTGCATGATGCACATGACATCTTAGAAGTGCAACTGAAAGGATTCGTCACTTATACTTCTGTACCCTGCCTGGCAAAGAATTCTGTTTCCAGTGGGTGTTGGTCTCAGGAGCCCTGGCTTCTCACATAATGTTATTTGGGTAGTTTATAGCTCCTATACAATCTCTACAACAAAACACCTTTCTGAAACCTAGTTCTTCAACAGCATTGATTCAGTAGCTGCACAATCTGGGCAACCACTAGATGGCAGCCAGGTGATACAAAAACTCTTTACTACCGTCATCTAGTGGTTGATAGGTTGAACCATCCACCCATAATTTCAAGAAATAATAAAAAAAAAAAGAGTTCAATCAGTCAAGAGTGTGATGAGAAACAGAAAAGAAAAAAAAATGCAGTACATGGAGTAATCAGAGTATTGTGCATGCCAACTGGAGGAGGTTTTTCATGTGATGAAGTTGGTCAGGGCTGGAATATCAGCCAAGAGAACCATCAATCACAGCCCTTCGAATGAACTGCTGTACATCAGCAGCTCAGCACCGAACTGTTCTGTGTGCAGTATAAAGGGATGCTGTGGGGACAGCAAGATTTAAGGCAATATGATTTCCTGCTGGCTTTGGTACAAGAGAAGAAAGGGCAAAACAGCTGTGTGGATGTAGCCTAGGTCTCACCTGCTCTGATTTATACTGGGTCTCCAGTCTTACTATCTGTTACAAGATATATTTAGTTGGAAATAGTGATGATGAAACCTGGGTCTTGATGCATGTGTCCTTTGTGTTTTACTACTGAGCTATGACTGCTCTACTTTAAACCCCTTCAATAATCATAGTAAGTGGAATTAGACTTAAAGTATACATTCATCTATGTATCTCCACAGCCCTAAATTCAGAAACAAATTAACAGGACTCTAAATCATACAAGTTGGAAGTTCAAGAGGAACAATATAGACTAACAAGCTTAATATAAATCAAATAATATCATTTGATGCTTCTCAAATACAAAAACACTACCCAGCCTTACTCTCATCAGACCAATCACTTCTTCCATTGAGAAGCAGAAAAGAATGAAAAGTAAAATCTAGTTCAAATTAGCAAAACAATTTGCCCATTCTCTTGGATGACTGGTGACAGTAAAAGCCTTTGAAATGCCCCCAGGTGCTCATACATTTCTACTCCTGCATGGCCATTAAGCTGTCAAGGACTGATGCCAAAAAGATTCAGGAAAGCAGAGGAGAGGCCTAACCCAAAATTTAGGCTAAAAACTATCAAGTTCTAACAAAGTGCAAGTCATTGATTAAGGCTGTTGTATTCCACTTAGGTTTAAAATATTAAAAAGGTTCTATGAATGTTGTTATAGTCTCTTCCACTCTCAAAGGATTAAAAATCACCATCCATCACTACACAGGGTCAGCTAGTGACATCCCCCAGCCCTCTACAGAGCATATTGAGTGTTCCTGTCCAATACAAAAAAGAGCTCCAGTATGAAGCACACCTGAAGAAAACATTATTCCCACTGGCCTGGTGATAACAAATCAAAAGGTGGCGACAGGTACAGTTGATCTTAAGCTATTCACTGGTCAAATGAATGCCAAGCCTTGATTAACACTGCTTGTCAAACAGGGCACTCTGCTGCCTGGATGTCCATACCAAAATCATATTGTTATGAAAATATTCTAACTGGCTTTGTGGGGCTAGAGTATGAAGGGCACAGGGCACCTGAGAGATCTGCAGGAATCAGATTGACCACATTAATCATGTAATCATGGAAGATGAGGCCGGATTGTTCAATTTTGGCAAATCAAGGCAGAGGAGATTTCACGAACTGTGGACAAACCTTTGTGCTAAGGATTCTCCCATTCCCTCCAGTACACAAACCATCTCTGATTCAGGATGCATTTCTTATTAACCTCATAAGTCTTTGAGGAAGTCTAAAGAGATAAGTCAAATGAAGAATTTTCACAAATAAACAATATCAAATTCCTAATCTGCCTAGAGGGCTTCACAACATATCAGTGTCTTCCATGCTGAAGCTGCTTCTGCGACTGCTAGCCTTGGAAGCTTCTGGGGACACAGTGGAAAACAAGGGGTCAGAAGCCACAGGAAGCATAGTATCCTCCATTAGCATCAAGTCTAGCTCCTTCTTGGACAAGGAGGGGAAAGAGACATTTTGGCTGGGGTCCAGTGGGTCATGAAAGCCTCTACAACTGTCATCAAAGCTCAGGCTATGGGTAAAGTCCAGCTGATGATAAGGGGACTGTGGAGGAGGAGCAAAGTGAGGCTGGTGCTGAGCTTCCTGTTCAGCATGGAGTTGTGGCTGTTGTAAGATCTCTGTTGTCCCCTCCTCTCCAGAGGTTTCTTGCTTCACCACCTGCTGAGCTAGTTCAGCCATGTTCATGCCAGAGGGTGAAATGGTTGGTAACCCATGGACTCGAGCCTGCATCTCCAGCTCCTTGAGGACAAAGCACCAAGATAAAGAATTCTTACAAAAGAAAAGCATAAGATATATAAGCACAGCCACCACCGCCCCTGCTCTAATCAACCATGAATAGACAACAATGTGCAACAAATAACAACTGTATGATACATGCTTGGGGGCCTTCCACATTGGACAGGTATAGTATGCTCAATAAACAGCAGTCTTTGAATCCAGAGGGCAAAGTTTATACATGTAAAACCTTGTATACAGCTACATTATCTTTTCCAATTTTTTTTTCATTTTTTTCAATCTAAGAAAATATTGAAAAGAATTGATGTAAAGGGTCCAAGGCTCAGTCTGTCAGCAGGATAACTCTCCAAAACCAGAATGGAACAAAACCAAATTTAGACTGCCAGATCTAGCTTAGGGTTGTGGAGAAAAAAAATCCAGAAAAAAAATTCCTCAGTGTATCCCTATGGAAGAGGCAGTTGGGCAGCAATCAAGTATTTTGCCAACTTATACATTTTTAAGTCCCCCTCCCTCCTGATTACATGAACCAGGGTAAAGGTGCTGTTCAGGGGCTGGAAAAAAATTCAGAAACCATGCTCTGTATGTTCTCCTTACCTGGTTTCATTTTGTATTTGAGTTTATAAAGGCTTTAATAGTTTTAAATGTTTTCCTGCACCAAGTAGAGCACAGCGTTGATAGGCAACTTTCTAAATTCAGAAGCCATTAACTCACTTCCCAACTAGCTAGACCAATGTTTCTCAACCTTGGCAACTTTAAGAGGTATGGACCTCAACTCCCAGAATTCCCCAGCCAACATGGCTGGCTGGGGAATTCTGAAAGTTGAAGTCCACATCTCTTAAAGTTGCCAAGGTTGAGAAACACTGAGCTAGACAGTCACAGGTGAAAGCACCAAAAGGGGAGTGGCTGATTTTTTTTTCAGTCATTTTTTTGGTGTTTTCCTAAGTTTTGAATGTGGGATGGGACCTCTGAATGACAAATTGTCCCATTTCCAGTCAAAACAGAAGCAGTCATACTTTTCAGCAGCAAAATCAGGAGCTGGGGAGCTGCAAATAGGCCATGGGAACCACATGTAGCCCAGAGAAGTTCAGGGTGGAAAAAGAGATCGAAAATGAAACATTTCCATAAACAAGGGCATGTCTTTCCAAAATTGACAAGCAATCTTAGCTGTTTCTGCTCCTTGGATGCCCCATCACCACGTAAGAGCAATGTTGGATTGAAAAAGAACACATGGTATGATTTTCAGGCAATCACTGAATTCCATCAGGGGTCACACAGAAATGACTATCACTATAAGAATTGGCTTTGCAGCTGTGTTATGAATCTCTTTTATGCTTTTTCCTGGCATGACAACATGAATCAAGACTTTCAAATAGAAGAATTCAGCTAAACTATTTTTAATGAGGTAATTTTAAAAAAGGCAGTTTCTACAAGCACATAAAAATACCTTAGGCAGTACAAGAACAAGACATGGGGTTTACCTGTATACGAAGCCAAAGCTGCTTGTTGGCCATTTCCAGACGCCGAGAATGATTCTCAAGATCTCGTGATCTCTGCAAGTCTTTCTGCATCCTCCTGATATAATCAACAGAGGCTTTCAGGATTGTCCCTTTGTTCCAGCGCACATCTCTGGAATAAAGCAAAGGAAAAGACTGTTACCCTTCCAAAAGATTACTTCTAGATTCAGAAACGTTTTTGCTCATAATCTGTTTAATCTTGAAAGGGTTTTTGGTTTTTTTTGTTTCTAAATTTTTGGCCCGACTATAGATTACAAATGTTTAACATGGAATATAAATGGAGCAAATGCTCCTCAGAAGAAAAAAAATATTATTTGAAAAAAATTAAAACAAGATATTATTTGCTTACAAGAGACTCATACCAGGAAAAAAGATATAAAATATTTGACCTATAAAACTTTGAGTGAAGAATTTATCTCAGTGGATATTAAGAAGAGAAATGGAGTTGTTTTGTATATTAATCCTCAGCTAAACCCAGAACTTGTATTAACTGATGAACACGGTAGATTTGTTGGAGTAGAATTTACATTATATGGGGTTAAAACCATGGTCTTAGAAGTTTATGCTCCAAATGAAGATAAAATGACTTTATAAACAATTTATGGAGAGATTAATGGACTTTTCTTATGGGGGATTGGAATGGAGTGGTTTCCCCCTAACTGGACAGGATTTCTGAGAAAAATATTAAAATTACTCAAGGTAAATTACCAAAAGTTTTCTTTGATTTGATGGGCAATTTAGAGCTAGTTGATGTATGGAGACAGAAGAATGGTAGTTCAAGACAGTACAACTATTTTTCAAAAAGACAGAGAACTTTTTCAATAATAGATAATGATTTGGATTTCAAGATACTTGTCTACCAAAATTTCTAAGGTAGAGATTTTACCAAAGACTTTCTCAGACCATAATCCTATGAGTTTGGTTTATGACAGAAAATTTAACTCTTTCAAATGGAGATTAAATGAAGTGTTGTTACAGAAAGATGAAATTGTTGAGGACTGCAAAAAGAAATTAAAACAATTTTTTGAAAACAATTTAAATAAAGGTACTGACATGAGAATGGTTTGGGATGCAAGCAAAGCCTTTATTAGGGGTTATCTGATACAATATAACTCTGAACTTAAGAAGAAGAGGCAAGAGAAAATACAAAATATTTTGGATGAGATTAAAGGAAAAGTAGAATTAAAGAATTCCCCTGGGAATACAAATATCTCCCAACAAATTAAGATTTTACAGCAACAGTCATCTATGTTAACAATAAGAGAAATGAAAATAAAATTGAACTATGCAAAGCAAAGAAATTTTGAATTTGTGAATAAACCAGGGAAATGGTTGGTTTACAGACTGAAAAGAAAAAGAAAAGAGAATGATATTGAAACTACAAGAGGGAGACACTGTATTAACGGATAACATGGCCATACAAAAAACATTTTATCAATACTACTCTAGTATGTATAAAGGACATGACATTCCGTTGGAGAAAATATATGAATATCTGAGAAAACAAAATTTACCAAGGATTACAGAAGAACAAAGACAAATTATGAATGGACCTATAATGATAAGGGAAGAGTGAACCAGGGAAGGTACCTGGGCCAGGTGGATTACTGAGTTTGTATTATAAATGCTTTGAAAATGATTTTTTCCAACCGTTACAAAATTCGATGAATTCTATTTTACAGGGTGGAAACATACAAGAAACTTGGAAAGAGGCTAATATAACATTAATACCTAAAGAAGGACAAAACTTGACTTTAGCAAGGAATTACAGACCAATATCATTGTTGAATAATGACTATAAATTATTTACAATGATTTTAGCTGAAAGACTGAAAATAATTTTGTGAGAATTGATTCATGAGGATCAGTGTGGGTTTTTACCTAAAAGACAGTTGAAAGACAATGTTAGAACTGTGTTGGATAATTTGGAATATTTGGAACAACATAATGAAAAACAAACCGCATTACTCTTTTTAGATGCAGAGAAGGCTTTTGATAATTTGAACTGGACTTTCTTGTTTGAGGTTTTGGAAGATATGAATTTTGGAGATAATTTTATAAAATGGGTGGATTTATATTTCACAGACAGCACAAATATTTGTTAATGGATATTTACCTAAACCATGTGAGATACAAAAAGGAACAAGACAAGATTGCCCACTGTCTCCTCTTTTGTTTATTTTAGTTCTTGAAATAGTGAATTGAAATATAAGACAAGATTAGAGGATCGTAGGCGTAAAGATGAAAAAACAGTCATACAAGTTAAGAGCTTTTGCAGATGACTTGGTTTTGGTAGACCCCTTAAAGGAAATTGAAGTTTTAATGAATAAATTAAAAGAATTTGGGACCTTAGCAGGTTTCAAGATTAATAAATGGAAGACAAAGATGTTAACAAAAAACATGAAGATACAAGATCAAACAAAATTGATAAATAAAATGGGTTTTAAGACTAAGAAGAAGATAGAATACTTGGGTATAACTATGACAAATATGAATTGTTATTTCATAATAACTACATTAAGACATGGAATGAAGTTAAAAAAGATATGTTAAGATGGGACAAACTATAATTGTCACTGTTGGATAGAATCTCTGTGATTAAGATGAATGTTTTACATAGAACGTTATTTTTGTTTCAGACAATACTTGTTTTGACAACTGATGTACCATTTAAACAATGGCAGAAGAATATATCTAAATTTCTATGACAAGGGAAAAAAACCCAAGTCAAATATAAGGTATTGCAAAAGAAAGAGGAGGATTGGTTCTACTAGATTTAAAATTATACTTTGCTGCCTATTGTATAGTTTGGGTGAAAGAGTGGGTGCTGTTATGAAATAGAAGGCTATTGGAGTTAGAAGGACATGATTTGAGACTTGGATGGCATGGATATCTATGGTATGACAAAGCTAAGGTTAATGTAGACTTCAAAAATCATTATGTCAGGCACCCTTAGAGTATGGAATAAATATAAATTTAGGTTCTGCCCAAAAATATCTTTGTGGCTTTCAACATAAGAAGCATTTTATAGATGAGAAATGATCAGTAAACATAAACGGTTAATTTAGAGTGATGTACTAGAATTCTTTCAAGGGGATTATAAAATAAAATCAAAAGAAGATTTGACAATAGAAGGATATACTGTACTTGTCAATGGTTTTCTTATGTATAATTATCAGAAAGGTTTAAAGTGGATAAAAGATTTTCTGGTTTTGAACAAAGTAAGACTGAGTTTTGATGAACATGTTATTGCTAAAACATAAATTTTTGGTGAAATATGAGACAGCAGAAGAACAAGTGAAAGGATGTTCGATAAAATGGGCTAAAAATTTTGGCTATAATATACAAATGGATCAGTGGAAAAGTACTTGGTTGAAAGGACTGGAATTTACATTATGCTCTAGTCTTAAAGAGAATTTTTATAAAACGATGTATCATTGGTATTTGTCACCAGAGAAATTGTTGAGAATATATAAAGGTATTTCAAATTTTTGCTGGAAATGTGAACAACATGAAGGGACATTCTATCATGTTTGGTGGACATGTAAAAAAGCCAAAAAAAATTGGATACAAATACATGCATAATTCAGAAGATTTTAAAGGTTAAAGTACAACGGAAATCAGAGACTTTTCTTTTGGGACTAATGGACAGGCAACTAGAAAAAATTCGTGGAATTTTATTTATATATATGACAACTGCAGAGAGACTATTATATGCTCAAAAGTGGAAAGGCTCGGCACTCCCCACAATGGAGGACTGGTCGGTGAGGATGATGGAACTTGCAAAGATGGCTAAATTAATGTCCTGAATGAGAAAAAGGACAATAACTACATTTATGACCCCTTATAGACTTTTTGCATGAAACAGAAAAAAATGCACATGACTTGTGGCTTTGATGATTAGAAAAAAAATGGATAATAGAAAAAAGTTAGCTTTTTTTGTAATCATAGAGTAAGAGATAATTTTGTAATTATGCATATATTTGCTAGAGAAAAAATCGGAAAATTCTTCTTTCTATTTCTTTTCATTCTTCCTCACTGCACTTTTGCTTTTGATTTTTTCTTCCTTTTTTTCTTTGTTCTCTCTATTTGGTATTAGTTGGTGTTAGTTTTTATATTCTTTTTAAAACTTAATAAAATTTATTTAAAAAAATAATCTTGAAAGTTTTCAAGCAAATGGAGAGAGCAGCCAACAATTTGAGACAATATATAAAATTCATTATACTTTTTAAGGCCAAATGACTTGACTTCTCTGGGTCAGATAGAGAATTTTGCCTCCCCCCCCCCCCCCCAAAAAAA